TTTTTCATTTCTAAGCATGAGGCTAAGAAATGTGTTTACATGAGTAAATCAGCCAAGCAGAGCCCTATAATTCACTTATTGAGGGACAGGATAATGTCTCCCTGAATTATCTTATGTCCTACGGCATGGACATTAAGAAGAAAAAGTTGATATTTCTATAGATGCAGTTGTGTATCTGAGCCCGCATGGGCAATGATGAGCTCACAGACTCCAGTGGGTTCTTAGAGCTCCTTGTCCCAGGAGGAACTTTGTACTCTGCTAGAAAATAAAAGTCTTGCTGAGGTCTGGGGATTCATGAGCGCCAAGCTCCAGGGATTGGTAGGGTGGGGATGGTGGAAGTTAGGAATATATTTCTGAAGCCTATTTTTAAATGGAGGTTATTCAGTGAGATAGGTTTATTTATTTATTTATTGCTTTTATTTATTTATTTACTTTTACTGAGTCACCATGAGATACAGAGTTACAAAGCTGTTCACAGTCGGACTTCAGTCCTGCAGTGTTCCAACACCCAGCCTTCCACCAGTGTCCATTTCCCACCACCAGTGTCCCCAGTTTCTCTCCCGTCTTCCTCTCCCCAAACTGTCTCTATGGCAGGTACTTTCTCTCTCTCTCTCTCTCGCTCTCTCTCTCTCTCTCTCTCTCTTTTTCTCTCTCTCCCTCTCCCCCCCCTTTTTGGGCATTAATGATTTTCAAAACAGATAAAGAGATGTTATCATGTTTGCTCTTATCCAGAATGATCATTTCCAACTATCTTTGTCATAGTGGTCCCTTCTCTATCCCAACTGTCTTCTCTCCCAGAACATTTAAGCATGAATCGAGCAAATGAAATATAGACATCATTTAATTATACATCTTACTAGAAGATAAGAATGGACTTTTAGAACAGAATGTGCGAATGTGTTCAGAGAAACCAACTTTTAGCTTACACTTTTAATCATTTTCTAGTAATCCTAAACAGATTGGCACAGGACCTCCCCATCTTCCCTACATCTGATGCATTAGCAAAATCACAGAGGAGTGCCAGATACCAAGGACAGTAATTAAGGGATTGAGCAAAGAAAATCTGGATGGTCTTCTGCACAATTAAAAGAGATGATATTAGCATGTCCCAAAAGAATATCACCTGTACTCGGAATTTAGGTTCGGACTCATGGAACGGACTCACATTCAATTAGTTCTTTCTATTTTCAGCTCTTTGAATGACTCTGTAGAACTGTCTTTTGCTCAGTCCATCTTTGATTTTCCTTAACAGAATCAGTGATGAGGACAAGCCCTTTTGTGCATTGTTTGCTCACTATGACATGGGGCAGCAACTGTACCTCTGTGGTAGTGTTGAGATGAAAATTGGATAAGTTACACACCTGAGGTCCTGAAGACTCATTTGCTGAGTTGTGTGCATGAAGCACTGAAAACACTGTCTCATAGCAGCGAGATGTGTTGAATGATTATTGCTTAGAAAAAGAGGGGACAGTGGGAGAGACTTATCTTGGAGGTGTGAGCCCAGGGTTCAATCTGGGAGGGAGGGAGGGAGGAAGGGAGGGATTTGGAGGCAAGCAGAAGAAATACATGCTGAGCACCTACTGTGTTCTAGGCATTAGGCTTGGTGACACTGGGCACTTTTTTCATCTCCCTCTATTCTATATGAAAGAATGCCATATGCAGGAGATTGAGAATGAGAGGGTTCTATTTGTGAGACTATTTTTGGGTAAGACTGAGGTTTACATTAATAATTAGTGGCAGTGTCAACTCTTTATGGTGGTAGTGGAAGAAGGGGAGACCCAGATGTCAGGGAGCTGAAATAGCTTTCCCTGCTCTCATCCAAGCTTTAGCTCAGACAGGAGACACAGCTCAATAGGCTGAGCAGGTGCTTTGCATGCAGGATGCTTGGGCTCAATTCCTGAGCTGACTGTCCCCCCAAGCACTAACAGGAGCCAACCCTGAGCATTGAAGAGGCCAAAAAAATAAGGTTTTGACAAAGCTTTAGTTCAGTATCACTTTGGTGGACATGCGTGGTAGTTACAATTGTTTCTGAACAAAATGCCTTAATAGAAACATACATAGGTGACCAACTGGCAGAAATGGAAAGAGATAACTTACCATGACAAACAATCCTTAGGTTTAATTGCAATATCAACTCTTTAAAGAAAATAATCTAGTTTGTTCTAAGACCTTTCCAAAAGAAACCAAATAAAAGAGGCCACTAAGAGAGTATGTTCAGACAGTCAACTGCACAAAAATGGGGTAGAGGCTTCAAGGATAAACTGCAAAGAGAGCTGCAGTTCATTGCAACTCTCTCTGTCTCCAACTCCAGAAGAATAATTGCAGTCGAACTAGAGGAAGTATTTTAGGCCTTGATGTGGAATTAACAAACAAACATCAAAGTACATAATATCCTCATATTCATCGCACTCAACAATGGTTAACCTTTTGTTTCTGACTTTTTAAAAATTATCTTTTAGACAATAAAACTAATACTTAGATGGTGGTGAAATTGTTGGGGGTTACAGATAGAAAAGAGGGAAGCAGGAATGGGTTGTACAAGAGCCTTTTTAATAGAGGTAATGGTAGAAATTTGGTGGTGAATGTGGTTAGTTTTGTACACACAGGAGATGGGGAAAGATATCACTCCTAAGTTCTATGGTATTGTAAACCAATGATAAATCCATTTAAAAAGCAAGCATTTTTAATAAATGCCCTTTTAAATTAGGGTGTAGAAACTTGTGTTATTTTTTAAATATATATCATCTATCTAGCTTATCAATTGTTACCTATTTTACTGTTTTTTTAAGATTTAAAAGACTGTTATCTGATTTATAGATCCAACCAGATTTCACAGTGTAATGAAAATTTTAATGATGTGCTGTGAAAAGCTATGTGTCAAACTGTGAGATCTGCCTTTTGAGCAACCATGGAGAAGGACATTTCTTCTAGGATGAGAGAAATAAATGAGACAGCGGTGCTCAAAGTTTTTTTTTTTATTTTAGATGTATTTATTATTTTTCACAAATGACAGGAATGTACCCTAGGGCAGGCTTAAAGCAAACAAGTACAAAGCTCGTCCTGGGATAGGCAGTGTGTATGGTGTGATTTTATATGAAAGATGATGATGAAAGAATATAACTACTCTAATAGTTGAATGATGTGCAGTAATGGGGATTTACATGGCATTTTCTAAGAAGCCTGGAGAAACACACTATTTCTTTGTGGGATGTAAGGGAGTTGGCCCTATTGCTAACCAAGCAAAAGAAGGAGACACAGCCCATAGAATTTTAGAATTCTAGGGTTGGAGCGATAATTCAGTGAGTAGGGCGTTTGCCTTGCACAGGGCTGACCCGGGTTTGATCTGCAGCATCCTTTATTGCCCCCTGAACACTGCCAGTAGTAATTCCTGAATGCAAAGCCAAGAGTAACCCCTGTGCATCACCGGGTGTGACCCAAAAAGAAAAAAAAAAATAATTTTAGAATTCTACCCGCTGGCCTACTTGTTCATATGGAGATACATGTATGTGTGTATTCTCTCTCTCTCTCTCCCCCCCCTCACACACACACACACACACACACACACACACACACACACACGTACACAGCCTCTCTATTATCAGCTTTTCCAGATGCCCATCATCTACAATTTACTAATAACTAGCTTTGCCCTAATGACCAAAATATTATATACTGATTTGAACTTCTGACTCTGGATTTTGAAGAGTCCTAAAGAGTTAAAGATTTCTGTTTATGAAGAAGTCCTAAATATCAAAACTACAAAGCCAACAACACTGAATGCATGAGATCCAAACTTTAATAACCAAATTTAGAAGGTGCCTGTCAACACAGCAGGCTGAGGTTGGGATGGGTGGATTGGAGAGAGAATCGGAAACACTGGTGGTGGGATTGATGATGGAACATTATATGTCAGAAACCCAATTATGAATAACTTTGTAATTCACAGTGCTTTAATTAAATAAAATTGGAGGGATATATGTAAAAATAAAATCATTTTCCGTACTCACCTAGTGAATGCATATGGTAATGGAATTGCAAAAGTCAGAAGAACTTTGATCCTTTTTTTATATTAGATAATCTGTTTTCAAGTAAGATGGGAATAAAAATGAAGTGCTACCAATTAGGGAAAAGTAGTCGCACTTAAGAGTTTAATTGTTACTAAGAGAATTAGAATCTGATAACTTAGAGTTTTAATTAAATTTCAGAGTAAGGGAACTATAGTTTAGCATCGCCCTTTCTCCTAGAAAAACATAATGTCTCTCAGATCTTATCAGCTACTCCGTGTTCTACAAATTAGTAGTGGTTATTTGCCTATTATTTTTTTCTCATTTTGATCATTATTCTTAGTCTGTGCTACTGATGATGGGATTATTTGTAAAACAGTACAGCAGTGATATTCATTAAGGCTGTGTGTGCATGAACATGTAACCCAACTATAGGGCTTTTGCCTTGAATATATGCTATCCTGAGTTGAAACCCTGATACTAAATGCACGCGCGCACACACACACACACACCACCACCACCACCACCACAAAAAAAAAAAGTGTATAGAAATAAAACCCTTACATACATCTTTATATTTGGGTGGGAGAATGAAATTTCCTAACTTGCATCACAAAGATCCAAAATAAAGTTCTTTTACAGCCAGGTGCTACTATTTAAAAAGAATATGTTCAGGCCACAAAGATATCTGAGGTGGTAGAGCACATGCCTAGCATGAGTGAGGCCCCGAGTTCGATTCCCTGCACTATCTAGGAGGATAATCACCAGAATATTTTGAAACTGCTCAGTGCTCTTAAAGAAATGAAACATGGGACATCCACTAAGTAACTGCCCACTAAGAGAAGAATGGGGGAGATACTGCAAGGGGAGAATGCACAGGCCAATAGGCATTGTTTTTCTTACCAGGCAATGAGAAAGTGGAACCTGGGACACAAAGCCCACAGAAGAAATAATACTTTGCACAAAGCTGAAGTTTCCTCTCCTTTCTTTCTGCAGCCACGTCATGTGTTCAACATGCTAAAGAAATATGTCCGTGCTGAGCAGAAAGACCGGCAGCATACCCTGAAGCATTTTGAGCATGTCCGCATGGTGGACCCCAAGAAAGCCGCTCAGATTCGCTCCCAGGTAAGAGCAGAGCTACTTAAGTCATCATCTACTAAAACCTTGCTGATCCAGCTTTGCTGCCCTTTGAGAAGATTGATCCCTGTAACCTGGAGTAGTTCACCTCCACAGGAAAAAGCTCTTGAATATGTAGTAAATTCTGAAGCTTTATTGGTGAACAAACCAATTTTCCCTTTTGTGAGTTTTGACAATACTATGGAATTGAGTGCCTACTGCTACTGATCATTACAAACCATTTAAATGTTTGATTGAATCACTTCAATTCAGTCAAACGGTGATTGAAATGAAGACAACTAGTTGCTTATACCTAAATTTCTAAAATTGGTTCAGCCCAATTGAGGTAGAAGAATCATAAACTCCTTGCTTTGGCAGGATTGGGATATAATGTGGCTCTCAGTGAAATCCTATATTATTATATTTTATAGTCCTGCATATCCAACAACTGAAACCTGATATCTTACCTCTGTATATTTTATATTGTCTTAAATAAAATATTTGTGTACATATCTACTAGATATAATTCCATATGGATGTATATTTTAAGTTCATGTGTATGAATTTATATATTCATAAATTTATATGTGTATATATGTGCATATGTGTATATATAATATGTGTGCGTGTGTATAGATATATACATATATATGTATCACATGTATGGTGTGATTCCAGTCAAATTGAAATATGTTCTTTTTTAGTTTAGCTTTGTTTTGGGGGGCACACCCACCTGGCTCTGAACTCAGAGATCACTCCTGGAAGGCTCTGGGGACCATATGGGGTTCCAGCGATTGAACACGGGTCAGCCGCTTGCAAAGCAAGCATCCTACCCAGTGTGCTATTGCTCTAGCCCCTGAATCTGTACAGGTTTGCAAAGAAAGTTATATAGGACATTAGAGTCATTTAGGGAGAAACAGTACTGGGAATCAACATTGGGGAGCCTTTCAATTGCTTTATTAATTTGGTTATGAGCTTAGAATTGACAGTTTATTTGCGGCACTGGAAATTGAACCCAGTGCCTCACACCTGCAAAGGCTTGGATGCTGCAGCTGAACCTCATGTCTGAACCTGTAATTAAAAGCATAAAGCAACTCCTGAGTTAGAGGACAAAGATGTAGAAGAAGAAAAAGAAAAAGAAGAATGCCCTGGGAAACTAAAAGCTCCAGCAGCCATTCTTAACTTTGATTCAGGATGTTTGTATCTGCCTGCAAATAGATAGGGGAAATTACTGTTCCTACTTCAAAGATGTTTCCCTGGGCCTGTCATCCTTCCTTGCAGGTGATGACTCACCTCCGTGTGATTTACGAACGCATGAACCAGTCTCTGTCTCTGCTCTACAATGTACCAGCAGTGGCCGAGGAGATTCAGGATGAAGTTGGTAAGTGGGATCTTCAGATATTGTGCATGGGCAAAATATTTCCCTTGTAAAAGAAAATCAAGAAATTTGGGTTCAACTGGACAAGCTATCGCAGTTGTTCTACTATGGGAAAAGAAAAGGAACTGCTTCCTTTGGATGATGAAACCTTAGAGGATGCCCCTAGCTCTCCCCTCAGTAATTGCATCAGTTCTTAACTATCTTCCAAGACTGGGAGTTAGGGACTTGACTTATGCTATATTTGTCTTATAATGAGCTGCGTGTTAGGTTAGACCTATCTGCAATTTTTTCTCATTGAATCAGCTTTGTAAATATTACCTTATAATATCTTGATGCTTCAGAGCTGGAGGCCAAACTCCTTCTTTATCTCTTAGTTCTGTATCACTGCAATCTTTCTAAGTGGCATGATACCACCATTTTACAGACGCGGATGTTAAAAGCAACTGATTTAACTTATACTCATATCCTAAGTGGTACAGCAAAAAAACGCAAAAACTGTGACCTCCTTCTTGCCTTGTTTGCTTCTCACAATTGGTTTTCTTGTCCCTACAATTGGTTTTCTAGTCTTGGGCTATGTGTTCTCCTCCCTACCCTCATACCTCTTATATAATTTTGACCTGTGACCCTTTGGAATATCCTGGGACCTAACAGGTCATATGGCACCTGATTGAGAAACACTATCTCAACTGAACTTTTGCTATCTTATGTCGCTATCTTACAAGACTGCTTTCATATGACTGCCATTGAGACACTCTTTTGGAGTGTAAGCCATTGGAAAAGTCAACATCCAATAATCTGCTCTCCCCAGTAATTATTTATGACTCTTCATAATTAAATTATTAGAACTTTTTATTTAGCAATATACTACTGAAAATAGTGGACATGGATGAGTCACACTTCCACAGAACAGATGGTGACTAACAGCTATCCCCAGTACTTGAAAATACCAAGAATAGCGCAGCTCAGTAAATTTTAAATCTGTTTCAAGTAGGATATTTAGATAATTAGAATCAAGGATTTTTTTCTTCAGAATAAAAAGGAAAACTCTTCTAAGTTGTATTAAGAGCATGTTAATTTTTTTAAATAGTGCCATTCTGTAGATACCAAATCCTGAAAGATATTTTGGAAAATATCTTTACTACTTTCATTTTTAAAATCACTATTTCCCATAGAAAGACAAGTTTGTGGAGAGGCAGAGAGAGTGTACAGCAGGTAGGGTGTTTGCTTTGCACGTAGTGACCTGATTCAATCCCTAGCTCCCCATATGGTCTCCTGAACACAGAGCCAGGAGTAAGCCCTTTGCACCCCTGGGTATGGTCCAAACCCTTTCCAATAAGGAAATGCTTGCTCTATAAATTATATATGTGCCCCACTTGAACTACTAACACCAAAGCTAAAGAAGAGAGCTTGCTGAGAAGAATGACTTTCTTGGATCGAGCTCAACCCCCTTATATAATTATTCCTTTGAGGAACATTTAAAAATAACTCACTTCAATGTAGAATTATAGATGAACCAAGATCGTCCGTGGATGCTAATTGTTTTAGCTGAATGGTACTATTTGAGAGCTCTTTGTACTATTCTCTTTTGTGTATGTTTAAATTTTACCATTATAGAAGTTTGGAGTTCTCTTACTTTATAAATAGAGTCTTCAGAGATTTCTTCTGGTTTATATCTCGTACTCTTTCTAATAGTTTCTAATCAAATGTTTTGTTACTCATATGAGTTTTTTAAAATCTGGCTTTCTATATATAAAATCAAATATTTTAATTACTTTTTATTGAATTATCACTGGTTTACAATATTCAGATATTTCAGGGATTTACCTTTAATATATCTGCATGTCTGTAATGTCTCCAATCTGACCATCAAATTTTCAGTGCTATGACAACCACCCAAAAAACCCCACCACCACACCCTTTTGCTCTTCCTCTCACACTCCTCTTTTTCTTTCAGTAACCAGCATCATTTTCACCAAGGTCTAGGAGGTAGCATTTCTGTTTTCAGTCATCATACTTCATTTAGCATAATAACCTCAAATTCCATCCAGTTTGTCCCAGAGGGCATAATTTTATCTTTATTAATGGCAAAGTAGTATTCCAGTGTCTTTGTCCAGTTATCTGTTGACTATTGTAAATAATGCTGCTCTGAATATAAGTATGCAAATATCCTTTCAAGTTGAAGAATTTTTGTGCCATCTAGGTAAATATTAAGGAGTGATATTGCTAGAGTATATGAAACTTCCTTTTGGACTGGGGAGTCACACCCAGCAGTGCTGAGAGCTTACTCCTGGCTATGCACTCAGGGCTCACTCATGGTGGGGCTCAGGATACCATATGAGGTGCTAGGTCTCAAACCATCAGCCACATACAAGGGAGCACTCCATCCCCTGTATCATTGCTCCAGGACCTCAGGTCTAATATTTAACTCTTTAGTCCATTTGAATTAAATTTTGTGTAGTGAATTAAATAATGACCCAGTTTTTTTTATTTTCCATAAAACAATCAAATTTTCCCAGAATCATTTGTTGAAGAAGCTTTCTCTTCTGCAATTTTCCCAGAATCATTTGTTGAAGAAGCTTTCTCTTCTGCGTTATGTGGTTTTTAGCTCCTTTCTCATAGGTTGAATTTTCGTATATACATGGGGCTTTCTTGTCATTTTAATTAGTACCTCATACAAGCCAATGTTCATATGTTCAGTGAGTGTGACTGCACTCAACTTAGAGTTGAAGAAATTGATTCTTACACAGAGGTCACTGACCTGCCCTGAGTTGATGAAAGTGAAATCGGAACCAAGGGCCGGCTGTCTGAGTCATACATGCATTCTTCCTCTGGTACCTGTTCTCACCTTTTCTCTGCTCAGTTTCAGGGTCTAAGGCACCAAGTGTCCACCCTTACGCTCTACTTTTTAATTATGTGTTTTCATGTCCAGCAAAACACCAGCTACACGTGTAATTTTTTTTTTCTGGGCCACGTTGCAATTATCTCCACATCCCCAGAATCCAGCAGAGAGCTTCTTTTGTCAATCTCTATCACTGTAGCCATGTGTGAAGCAAATCTCAGACTACAGGGGTTGCATTATGAGGCTGCATTAAGTTGATGGTGTGAGTGCCTCCATAACCCCAAAGAACCATCCTGAGCTCCTTCCTTAGCACCCAACATAGATTCACACAAATCTCTTAGCTCCACCATAACGTTCTCTAAAGCTCTAACTGATTAGGCTGACAAAATGGGTACAGTTGGCAAAGGAATCACAACAGAGAGAAAAGCAGAGTTCTAGAACTACAATTAATAACATTGCATTCATTCACCTACATCATCTCCATGACATTTTATTCTTTGGTCTTGGTTATCTTTTTCGCGCACATATTTTGGCATTTAATTTATTCCGTGTCTTGTCCAGTTTGGTTATTCAGTCAGCCACAACCCAAGCCTATTTGTTCAATTAGTCTCAACAGTATGAATTATCAGTACTGCCCTGTTGTTTCACAAAAGCTCGCCTTTCATTATTTTATAATAATGTCTAGTTCCATTTAAATTATGTGCAAATTTGCATACTCATTTAGGCATATTCATAATGTGTTTCTGTCTTTTAAAAAAATGGTATTTGTATCCAAGTTATGAAGCCTTATTGCAAAGAAAGGCTCATGGCATTTTTTAGAGGGGAAAGAATTCCTCTTAGTTAAAATTGCTATTCAGGAGTTTTTATTTTAATTCAGCAAATGGTAAGACAATTATTTTAATGAATATATGCCTCCTAATAAATACCCACATTCTGTCTTATTTTAGCCCTTAAAAAAAGGCAGAATCCCTTCATTACTGCCTTTGTTCGGTTTGGCCTTTCTTTTGTCAAATTGCTATTTCAAAATGATTAGCTGTGGCCCTTTATAATATCCCTTAAATCTGTGCTAAAAAGATTCTGTTCTACTTTGAGGTTATTTATCAAAATGCTGCATTTCGCAACTACCTCCAGGCTAAAAATATTGTAGCTCTCAATTCAGAGATGGCAGTTTCGCAGAATGCACTAATGAACGATTTCTGAAAGGGGCCTTCGGAAAGAAGGGGACGGAAGGCATAACGGTTTCATACCCTGTTTTCTTCCTTTTAACATTCAGAATTAATTTTTGAAAATGGGTTTCTATAAAACAGATGTTGAAAGGCTTTCTAGCTGAACAAAATCCATGATGAACGGAACAGAATGAAAGTATGTGGTGGGAGATCAAAAAAATTGCACTAATGAAAGAATGCTTGTGAGTTTTTTACTACAGTTTTACTGTAGCCATTTGATAAAATTTTCTATTCTTTGGGGGGAAATACGGCATTCTTTTTTTTTTAATTTTTTATTAGTAAATCACCGTGGGGTACAGTTACAAACTTACAAACTTTCATGCTTGTGTTTCAGTCATACAATGGTCAAGTACCCATGCCTCCACCAGTGCCCATTTTCCCCCACCAATGGTCCCAGCATCCCTCCCACCATCCCCACCCCGTCGCGTCCACCCTGCCCCACCTCTGTGACAGGGAATTCCCTTTTGTTCTCTCTCTCCTTTTTGGGTGTTGTGATTTGCAGTAGAGGGAACTACGGCAGTCTTATCTCAAAAACAATGTTTCCATTCTCTGTTCCTAAGAAATCTATTGATTTGAGAATTTAATACATCCCAAGTCACCTGGGTTTAAAATCGAATACTTGCCGTTTTCTCCAGAGCAACAAAATGAGGCATTCATTATTACTGAGAATTTTAAGTCTCTGTATGTAGAATTGTTCGTCAATGAAGGACATCAAGGAGAAGAAAATCATAAAATAAAGTGAGAACTGTCAACTTATTCTTTCTATTCTTTGTTTTCCATTAGAAATAACATGAAAGGGCACATCATTTTTATATTTTACAGCTAATTTAAGTATTTGGAAGCAGGTATATTTATTTATCTCATGAATCAGTGTCATCAGAGATGTCTTCTTCCTTTGGTTTTAGAAAAATCTCAGCACCTCTTATTTATACCTAACC